ACGTGACGTACGTGACGTGACACGTGACGCACGTGACGTGATACGTGACGCACGTGACGTGATACGTGACGCACGTGACGTGATACGTGACGCACGTGACGTGCACACTTTGTTCAAAAATACCAAAAAGATGTCTTGATAGCCCGAAGAACCGCGCCACAACATCAGAAGTAATGTTAGTATTATGTGTGTGCGTGTTTTTTTTTTTGTTTTTGAACACGCTAAGTTTTGAACTCCAACCACGCACTAACATTGCTTCTGATGTTGCACACCTCTGACGACTCAAGCTATCAGGACATCTTGTTGTTGTTGTTGTTGTGAACTCTTCTTACTAGAAAAATCTAACGAAATCAATAAAACATCTTTTTATAAATATTCATTTATTAAATCTAATTACATACATGTTTGAAAAAATATATATATATATAAATGTTAGTACTACATACATGTTTGAAAAAAATATATATATAAATGTTAGTACAATAGATAGAGAGAAACTGGAGGACGGATGAACGCTTTTTATATATTTTTTTGTAATTTGTTTGCTGTGATGTTTTTTTTTTAAAACTCAATATCGCTGTCTACATCAGATTCATCAAATCGGATTCGGATGTTATTTCTAGACCTATCATGTAAGGCATCTCTGCAAGATTCCTGGTCTTTTAGTTCAAACACTACGCTTTTAAAGCAGCTGTGACACCAATTATACTTTTTTTGGTATACGTTCAAAATAATGTCATGTGCATCGTGAACCTCGTGAGAATGGTCATAGCAGGCAAATAAACGTTTATTTAAAGTTTTATGTATTTCTTTAAATTTAGATAAACAATTTTACATACGTGTAGGTAATATTGGTCCAGCCAATATCCACTTGTCCATAGACAGTAACTAGAATAATCTTCAAAACATAACCCCAATCTGATTTTCCTAATATAGTGTGAATTAAATTTGGATCTATTTCTTTGTGACATCTAATAAAGTTAATTCCTGTATATGAAGAATCAAGATCATTTTTGGCTTCTTAATCATAGCGTGCCATTTATATAAAGGAAATTGTTTCACAATTTCCGTAGTTAATTTCCATGGTAGTGGAGGACTGCTCCATGAATTCTACTGCTGATGATGTTATTGATTCGCAAATTTTTCTAACAGCTAACTCTGATAATGTTTGGGGC